ATTAAAGTCAGGCCCATGGGGTGCATGTGCTAAAGAACACGCATGCAGTGGTGCTGGCTGGGGAGAAATGCTCCAGACTCCTCATTCCTCTTGCTTAAGGGGAGGGATTTTCCCATTGGGAGTTGGGTATGTTAACTTCCACTGTAGTTTCCAGTATTGGCCACTGTCAGGGGCATGTTACCCAACCTGGTGGCCCATTGGTCAGTCCCAGGGTGGCTGTTCCTGCACTGCAGTGCAGAGCAGGTGGTTTTGAAGGCACAGCATGGAGGTCTCCTTGCTAACTGGGTGTGGCTTTCTCCTGAGCAGGTGCAGGCAGAACGAGACGAGCTCTATCAGAAGTTCACCAAAGCTATTAATGAGGTGCAGCAGAAGACTGGCTTCAAGAACCTGCTCCTGGAGCGCAAGTTGAAGGCCCTCTCCAACATACTGGAGAAGAAGGAGGTGCAGCTTAACGAAGTTCTCTCAGCCTCCAATCTCGACCCCAGCGCCCTCACCATGGTCACACGCAAACTGGAGGTACCGTACCCTGCTTCAGGGTCTTGGGGGAGAGATAGGAGCAGAAGGGTGACTTCTTGCTGGGCTTGCCCCCTCCCCACTGCAAGGGTTAGGGCTTGGGGTGATAGGGCTGCACGGGGGGGCCGGGCCTGCTCTGTGGCTAAACATGGGCTAAATCTCTGGCCTTTGAACCTCAGCACCAAAGAGTTGAGAGCAGTCTTTGTAGCTGGAGAGGGATCCTGCTGGAGGTGCAGACAGGCTTGGAGAAGGCATCAGAGAATGGTCCTTTTGTGACCAGGCGGGAGCCCTCTCCTTCTCCCTGCACCCTCTGAGGAGCGAGGCCCAACCTTGTAGGACCCCACACTCTGTTACTTCTGCCTGGTGGCTAGCTGAACGTGGTAGTTAGGTCAGAGCTTCTGGTCTGTTAGCGCAGCCCCAGGCTTGTGGTGCAGGAGGAGAGGCCCAATGGGGTGGGAGGAAGGAAGATTCACGCCTCGTCTTGGGAGAATTTCACCTCTAAGATGTGTGTAGAGCTGGGGCCCTGGCACACTCAGGGAAAAGCCCCAACATGTTCCACTGTCCTGCCAGAATCCCTAGGCTACCGCTGTGGTAAGGGGAGAGGCTTCAGCAGCCTCCTCTCACTCCCATGAAGGCCATTGTATGGGTAACCCCCTTGGGGCACGAGGGGCAGGCTCAGCGCTGAGTCTCGCTCCGCAGCGGTGGAAAGGGCTGGGCCGAGTCCCAGCCCACAGGAGAATTGTCAGGGCTGCTGATTCCTTTGTGTTCCGGGCTCGGCAGGCCGGGCACCATGCTTGTTTGTACTCTGTCAAGGTGAGGGATGGAAGCCCCTGAGCAGCAGCCTCACCCAGGCTTCCCCTGGCCAGCTCTGTGGAGACAGCCCTCTCCTGGCGGCCCCACCCCCGGCAATCTAAGCAGGCTCCACTCTGGCCATGCCAGCACTTGGAGCTGGAAGGCGATTCCTCGCTCCAAGTGACATACTGGGGCGGCCAGCCTCTCCTGCTGCTTGCACCTCTAGATTTTAGCAGGTAGCTCGATGAGAGCTAGCACAGGTATGTCTCCTGGAGCTGGCAATGACACCTGCCAGCTCTAGTGGAGGCGTGCCTGATTTGGAGGGGCTTTGTGGCCATGGGGGCTAGTGGGGACATAATGACCAATGAGAACTAAGATGAATCTCACTAGTCACTCCCCCCCACACCACCTGCTTTCCTTCCTGGCTCTGTGGCTCACAGCAGGCTCTGGGACGTCTGGCACCCTAAAAATACATGGCGGGGAGCTCCTGGGGCGGGGGGAGAACAGGCTTAGTGATTCCACATTCCAAGCAAGTAGCAGCAGTAACAGGAGAAGCAGCACTTGTCTGCCTTTGTCCCAGCCCAGCTCAAACGGGCTCAGGACTTGGGAAACCTGGGTTCCTGGCTCAGCCATGGATTTCCTGTGTGACCTGGGGCCAGTCACTTCATCCACCCCATGCTCAGCTTCCAGCACTATGATGGAGATACAATTTCCCTCCCTCCCTGGGGTGTTGGGAGTGTGAACCAGTAACAGCGCTGTAGTGCTCAGACACTGGGGATGGAATGAGCGCCACTGCCTGGCCTGGGGGGAGCAGATCACAAAACACATTCTTCAGAAACCACCAAGGCGACATCTCTCCAGCAGCTGCTGGCGGTGCTGGAGTCTCCGAATTCCTTTGCTCAGCTGCCTCTTGCAGGCTGCATCTATGCTGCGAAGCTTCCGGTCTGTAACTCTGCACTGGTGCCGTGTAGCCCGGACCCTGGTGTTTGAGCAGTTAGGTGACGGAGCAGCAAAAATGCAGCCCTGGCCTTCCCCTCTTGCGGAGCGGCACCATTGGTACATCTCAGGACCAATTTAACTAGTGTAGACAAGCTCTCGGGGGGCCCCTGGTTGGGTTCTTGGAGCGGAAAGGCCAGGCAGCACACGTGAGGCACAGCCACCTCACCTCATCACAACTCCATACCCCCCGCAGGGTTCCTTTCATAATATGGCCTCAAACTGGGGGTCCCCTGCCTTCCTGAGGACAGCCCCTGAGCAGGGCCCTCCACCCTGGAAGCTGCCATAGTCGCCCCTGGCACGAGAGTCACAGTCCGACTGGAGCCTTTTCCAGCGAGAGGCTGGTGCAGTGGAGGTTCCAGGTGAGGGCCTGTTGTTCGTTTGCTGCCCTCTGCAGAGCACAGGCTGCTGGCAAGTCAGGCACCTCAGGCTTAATAGACATTTGTAGCCTCCACGCATCCCACAGCCTCTGCAGCAAACCAGCCGCTTAACCGAAGGGAGAACACATTCCTGAACCCCAGAATGTCAGCCCAGGTGTAGCAGTTTGACAAGGGGGCTCAGCCAGCCCCCACAGAGAAAGGGCCCTACTCAGCCACCAGGGCCCTGGATCTCCTCCGGTCTCCGCTTTCCCCAACTGCAGAGAGCCCGGGCTCTGTGCTAGGCCAGCTGTCAATGGGCTGGATTCGGACCCTGTGGTTGTGAGGCAGGAGGGTGGGATCGGGTGGAGACTGCTTGTCTCCCACTCTTAAGCACTCTTAATGCCTCCCTGGGGACTAAGGTCGCACTCCATAGAGTGGCCTGAGGATTCCCTCGGTCATATCTTTGGCCTGGTGCTGGGAGGAAACCAGGCTGGAGTGGGGTGAAGTGGGCTGCGAGCTCCCCCAGTGCAGTGCAGTGTTCGTTACCTAAGGGAGCATGGGGCCATGTCTAACCCACCAGATGCAACATAAACTGGCGGGCAGGCAGCACTAAAGGCATCTCAGTCTCTGGGTCAGTTACACTGAGCAGGGTTCTGGGGTTACGTTCCGGGTGTCCCCCCCGCCCCCAAAACTAGCCCCAGCCAGCAGGCACCACCTCCTCTGGCAGCACTGTGGGAACCTTGCCAAGCCAATCTCTGCAGCTTTCCCATGGCACCATGCTGAGCTGGGCTCTGACCCATGCCCGGGGGACCCAACCAGTAACAAGGCTCTGATCTCCCTTCCCAGGACGTGCTGGATTCCAAGAACAACACCATCAAGGATCTCCAGTATGAGCTGGCCCGAGTCTGCAAGGTGAGGAGAGGGGACCCTGCTTCTGTCCCGCCCCAGTGGAACCAGGCAGGGTCAGCGCTGGGACATGCCACATGCTCTGCAGGGAGAATCCTCCTGTGCAAAACCTAATGGGGATGGAGGAGAAGCTCCAGGGCCTGCTGGGAGGAGCAGGGCACTGCTCCTACGTGGCTCTGTTAGACATCATCTCTCCTGCAGGAGAGGAGGCAGTGGAGGGGCTGTTCCCGCTCACGTGTGCACAGACAGACACAGCCTTTGCCCAGCATCTCCCTTGTTGTGTCAGGACTTTAATCCTCTTGATTATGTGGCAAAGCTAGAAAGTGCTGGCCAGGCAGCTCAGCCCTCTGGCATGTTGGCATCTCCTGTTGTGTGTGCAGCCCTCGCTGCTAGGCAGGAATTAGCCACACGGTGCTGGTTCTCTCTGAGGGGGTTACCCAGGGACCCCCAGCACCCAGACTGGCTCAGGGACCGAGTTCTGGTTTCCCTAGTTATGACAGCCCCCCTTTGCCCCTGCCGGGCACCACAGGGGATGGTGCAGGAGTGGGTGCTCTGCCCGGGTAGGAGCTAGCTAGTGACGACCTGTGCGTGGTGTGCACTTCCCTGGGACTCACACTCTGCTTCACTTTCAGGCACACAACGACTTGCTGCGCACCTATGAGGCCAAGCTCACAGCCTTCGGGATCCCCCTGGACAACGTGGGCTTCAAACCACTGGAGACCACAGTGATGGGACAGACGCTGGGGCAGGGCCCAGCCGGACTCGTTGCTACCCCAACCTAGCACTGCTGGGCACGTGCTTGTCCATCACCTCTTGGGTTACACTAAATATTGTCAGCAGCCTCCCCACGGGCTCCTGTCCCAGCACCGCAGGGAGAGGGCTGTGCTGTGGCTCTGCCTCATTAAACAGACCCCAGAAAGGTTTTTAAGCAGGCTCCAAAGAAACCATTTTTCACTTCCCAGGGCAGGGCCGGGCCGCAGCGTGGAAGGAGACCTCTCCCAGCCCAGTGTTCCCTTGCCTAGAGAACGTGCCAGCCAGACAGCTGGTAGCTGGCCCCTGGGTACCACAGCACCGTAAGCAGAGGAGTGTCGCCCCTCCAGACCACACTTATGGCCTCCACATGCAGCCTGTTCTCAGCCAGTCCTGCACCCATAGGCCTCCCAGCTAGGCCCTCTCCTGCCCTGGGCAGGGGCTGGAGCCCAGAGGGCTCCGTATGCCGACAGCTCTGCCTCGGGAAGAGGGATGAGCCCTGCTGGCTCTGGAGGGACTGCGCTCACCAGCAGGGAGAACTGGGCCCCTGAGCAGCAGAGCCATGCTGCCCTTCCTGGAGCAGAACCATCCGTCTCCTTGGCTGCTTTACCACTCGGATCCGCAGAGCTCGCTAACGAGCAGCTGAGTGCGTCAGGCTAAGGCAGGTGCTGTTGAAAGAGCCCTTTAATAGCGCAGCCCACCCTGAGCCCTCCCTCGCGTCACTTCCTCCGGCCCATCTCTGGAGCCATGGCCAGGCCGGCCGGGGGGGCTAGTCCCTGCACCATGCCCACCTGCTCTCCCCTGTGCTCTAGCTCCCCTTGTAGGTGGTATAGGAGAAGGGGCTGATCAGCAGAGGGATGTGCAGCTTCCGGGTTTGCTCTGTGACCGTGAAGACAACCTGGCAGAGACAAGGGAGAAGCAGGTTACATGTGTGACACAGCGTGTGCTGGCTCGGGGGAGCCTCGGCCCCACAGCAGTTTGATCTGTCTGCAGACGGTCCAGGGCGGGAGGAAATGCGACCCTTTCCCGTTGACAGTGAGCGGCTCCAGCATTGCTGGGGACAGAGCTGCAGATTGGCCGTGTAAAGTGCACTGAGCCCTATTCACTCTGACATGGCAAAGGCGATGGGTGGGGAGCAGGGAGACGGGGCCAGAGTCTGCTCCCCTACGCTGCTGTCAGTCTGGAGCCGCTGCCCTGCTAGGCCACGAGGCAGAATTTACGGTGGAGTATCAAAGAGTTTGACCCTTGGGCTCCTTTCGCATTTGTAGCATCTGTGGCAACTTCCCCTGACTTAGTGGAGGATTCTGGAGAGGCAGTCACAGAGCAACCCGTGTCCTGGGCGTCAGGCACTCCACGTGCTCCCTGCCTCCCAGGTCTGCACGTGCTAGCGCTGGCTCGGTAGACAAGGCTGATTCTCCTCGCTCCTGCTTTAACCCGCCCGGGTGAGAGAGGAATTGGGCCCAGACATGCTCCTTGTTGGATTTACCTCCACATAGGGGTAGAAGCTAGTGTAGCCCAGCTGCTGCCAGTAAGCCCCAGTGTCGACGTGCAGCTTGTACGTGCCAGCCTTCACCTGCCCAGGAGCCAGGAAGAGCGGGCAGTGCCCATCCACGTTGGTAGAGCTGAAATCCAAACAAGTGTATCAAACTGAAGCTGTCCACCGCTCCCTCCCTAGTCCCCTGGAGCCTCCTTGCTGGGATCCAGCCCCAGGTGCAGGCTGAGCCAGGCACAGCTGTTGGGATGACGTGCTCCCCCCATGAGCAGCGCAGGAAGCAGAAGGCAGAGCAAGGAGAGGCGTGACCGCAGGGGAGAGCGCCTGGGGATGGAGCAGGCAGGGAGGTCGTTCCAGACAGCAGGAGCTGCCCCCAGGGATTCCAGGTGACGCTTTTTGGCCAGCACCACCTCGTGCTGCGTGCGCGTCACTCCGCCCTGGGAGTTGATGGGGAGATTGAACCGTACTGGGTCATGTCAGAGCATGGATCTGTGTCCTCTGCGGTCTGGCCTACACCTCAGGAAGGATGAGCCAGAGCGGATGGCAGTGCCCCACTGGAGTGCGTCCCCATGATGCCTGGTTAGTGGGGAGTGGGGGCCCAGCCGAGCAGTGAGGCAGCTGCCAGGCCAGAGACCAGAAGGGAGTAATCCCCCCACCCCACAACCCAAGGAAGGGAGCACCAGGGGAAATGGCTGTATGTTGGCTGGGTCTGTGCCAGTACCTCTGCCAGTTACCCTGCAGGGCCCGGGGGAGAACCAGGCCTCCTTGCCTTGGAGTCTGGCCAGATGTAGACCCACCTTCACCCTGTTTGCACTGCACCTCTCTCCAAACACAGCCTGGGGGCAGGGGCTTCAGTTAGCCCTTGGGCACCGGCTGGGGGGAGATGGAACCTGTGCCTGCTGCAGGTCCTAGCCCACTCTGCCAGAACCCATCCCGCAGCCTGCACGCCCTGGTGCAGCCTGAGCCAGGCCAGCAGTAGGATCCACCCCGGGGGGGTGGGGGGTCTTTGGGGAGGGTGAGGTTTTGAAGGGCTCAGGCAACTGTTCTGCTGTGGGCTGGGATCGGATTCAGGTGGGAGAGGGAAGCCTGAGGAGGTGGAAAAACCCTTTCCTGTCCTTCCCCCAGGCTTCAGCTCAGTCCGTCCGTCGTCCCCCCGCACCAGGCCTTTGCACTTAGGGGGGTTGTGGGGTGGCCTTCCCCTTCCAGGGACAGCCCATCTGCCTCACCACACCTACCTCTTCATCAGCTCCATCCATTGCAGCCCGGGGCCTTGGAGCTGGGACAGGTGCATGGCCAGGCCTGTTGCGGGCTGGCCGGTCAGAGTGTTCAACACGTGGACGGTCAGGGAGCTGCTAGGGGCCTCGGACATGTTTTTGACCTGGGACACAAGTTAATGAGCCAAGCGGGGCCCCTCACGCCTGGCCCCCAAATCACCACAGCCACTCCCCCGCCCCGCGGCAGTGCCCACCGCCGATGACGGGTGGGGAGTGAGGCAGGGCCCCTGGCGCACGCCCAGGCCGGTGGGGGATGAGGCAGGGCCCCTGGTGCACCCACAGTCCGATGGGGGGTGAGGCAGGGCCCCTGGCACACGCCCAGGCCGATGGGGGGGTGGGGTGAGGAAGGGCCCAACCCTGATTTCTGAAGCCCGCACAGCAGAACCGCTGCCCCCAGCACTTGTCTAACTCACGAACATGTGGCATCGCTCCAGCAGCTCTGACCTAGATCAGGGCAGCGCGGAGCATTGGCCATTTGCCCCACTCCACCCTCCAGTCCCCTCCCTGTGGCACCATTCCCATGGCCCCGGCTCTGTTTGCTGAGCTAGCGAGGCCGGTGAGTAACCTCGGGGCCTCGGCGAGGAGCAGGGCCTGGGGAGGGATGGCCCAGCACCATGGAGCAGTGCCAGGTCTTGGCTGCAGAGGGACAGTCTGTCTCTAGCACCGCCTGCAACAGGGTTCGACCCACGTGGCCAGACGAGGCCCCACACCCCCATGCCCTGTCAGACCCGGTTTCCAGAGCAGGGGGCAGCCAGGATGTGCCCTTCCTCTGAGTGGCCCCAAAGATGACAAGCCAGGGTAGGGCCCGGGACGAGTGTCCCCTGTGAGGACAGAGGGAGGATCCAGCCTGGTCCGGCTTGTTGTGGGGAACGGCTGATGGGCGAGGGAGGAGCCCAGCTCACATGATCCCATCCCACCCCCGCCCTGGGCTGCTTCTGGCAAACCTGGGTCCAAGCAGGGTACAGTGTGCGGCCTTTCCCCCCTACCCCCGCCTGCTCTGCCGCGGTAGGGGCAGGGGTCTGTGTAGGGAGCCAAGGGGCAGGGCTGGAGTGCAGATCCCCAGTTACACTTAGGAGGGGAGCCCATGGAGTGCCCCAGACAGGGCTGTGGTAAAGGGGGATGCCCCGATTCCCAGGGAGCTCCGTGCCGCAGTGCCCCACACCAGTGTGTGAGCAGGCTGCCCCTGGCGTGGGACTGCAACCAGCTCCCAGTGACCCCAGCCCCAGCTGAGCTGCAGTGTGGGGTAGTTACTGCTGGCACACCCCTATCAGTCATGAGTCCCAAAGGGGCAGGCTCCCACGGGGCTGCTGTAACTCCAGAGGGCCAGGGAGAAACCCCTTCTCTAGTGCAGGAGTCAGGCTGTGCCCACTGCTGCCCAGGCTTTGGGGCACCCTCCCTCTGCTGCTCCCTGCCAGCCCAGCTGCTAAGCCTGCCCTCGCCTGTCCTGCCCAGCTGTGCCCAGCTGTGCCCTTCACAGGTAGCAGAGCAAACCCCACCTCAAGGTGCCAAGGTGGGGGGGGGAAGCGACTTTGAACGTACATGTTTTAAGCCTGTTTTTTACCCAAGTTGCTGCCTGTGGAGTCTTGGCGGGTTTTTGTGTGTGTCAGTGGAGCCGTGCCCAGTGTGTGACGGATGAACTCCGCCCCCCTTCTGCCTGACAGCCAATGGGCTGTACGGATTTTTTTTTTAAAAGTGAGTGGAGCCACGTGATTGGCCATTCCACTGGTTTTGAAAAAGAGGGTGAATGTCACTGATTGGTTCCCCACAGCTATTTAAAGAGCAACAGGCCAGCCAGCTGAGCAAAGGGTATTTCCTGCCTGCCAGGGAATGGGAGACCTGCCCCGGGGTGGGGGTGGAATAGCCGGTCACGAGTGGCCGGGGGCTTTCAGAGCTGCGGGCCGCTTGGGAGACCCATGTCAGCTTGTGGTTTTTGAAAAAGCTGCCCCCTCCAGCCAGGCTCTGCGGCCCCAGCTCTGCCCCCCACTGGGGACTCCTGGGCAGCCCTGTGGCAGGCTTGCTAACTGGGTACAGGCAGCGGTTTGGTGGCCCTGGCTAGCAGTGGGAGTGTAGAGGCAGCTGCCGGGTCTGTGGCCCCAGCATCTCTAGTAGTGCCCTGTGTGTTAATGGAAGCCCAGCCCCGCCCTCGCCGCAGCCTGGGAGCCTCACCTGCACCTCGATGACAGCAGTGGCGGAGGCTGTGAACCCGTGTCCCTGCAGATCTGCAGCCTGCACTATCAGCCTGTACTGGGGGGCAGTCTGTGAAAGAGAGAGAGAGAGAGAGTCACACGGGGCTCAGAGCGGGGCCTTTCCCCTGCAGTGCGGGACTCAGAGCGGGGCCTTTCCCCTGCAGAGCGGGGCTGAGAGCGGGCCCTTTCCCCTGTGTGGCTGGGGCCAGGGCCTTGCTTTCTGTTAACTCGTTGCTCACCCTACTAGAGCTGCCAGCACGTTACAGTCTAGGGTGACCAGATGTCCCGATTTTATAAGGACAGTCCCGATTTTTGGGTCTTTTTTTTATATAGGCTCCTATTACCCCTCCCCCACCACCCTGTGTTCTGATTTTTCACACTTGCAGTCTGGTCACCCTATTACAGTCACAAATGCGCTGCTGTTGGGAAGGGTGGGTGGGTGGCTGGGGGAGCTGCCATGGGGGAACACAGACCAGGGGCTGTGCCTGGCATTGGTGGAGGGGCCGGGGACCGCGGTCGGAGCTGCAGCCAGGGCAGAGCCCTGTGGGGCCGTGGCAGTGAGGATGAGCTGTCTGGACACGGTGCGTGGGCGAGGGAGGGCAGGGGATGTGAACAGGAAGGGGTGACGTGGTCTGACTGACGGACAAGGAAGATGATTTAACGGTGCCCTCTCAAGCTCTTCACTGGGATCCTGTAGCAACCATCTTGGAACTGGTGTGGCCGGAGGTCCTGGAGACTCCCGCCCTGGCACAGCGGCACACTCCGAGGGAGGGGCTCTTGCCCACCAGTAATTTCCCATGTGGCCTTGGGCAGCTCCCTGTCCTTGTTTCCCCTTCTGTAACACAGGAATAATGGTTCCTCCTCCCGGGGCAGGCCGAGAAGACCTGTGACTGTTTGTGAAGCAGGGGAGGAGGCAGCGAGATGGGGCAAAGGGCTGTTCTCAGCCTCCTGCTCCCGGTTGCCATGGACGGCGAAGGGAGCAGGGTGGGGCCTGTGTCTCTAGAAAGGCCAAGTGTGCTCACGTCCCCAAGGAGTGTTCCGTGCCCAGTTCCCAGTGCAACCTCTCTGCTGGGCTCAGGCTCGGCAACAACGTGTTTCCACAAAACCCAACGTGGGGCTGAGATTTGATGCATTTAAATTAGCTGAATTGACCGAACACGGCCAAACGATCAGGCCTCCCATGGGGGGGGGGGAGAGGTCAGTTTCTAGCGCTGCAGAGATGCCCGTTGAACCCCGCACTGCCTCCCCGCCAAGCACAATTCACTCAGCCCAAGGGCTGGCCCGGGCAGGGGAAGTCTAACGTGGCACAAGCGCCCAGGAGAAACGGAGACAGCGGGAAGTTTGCCAAAGACATCCTGCAGCGTGACACGGATTGCGCCGGACACTCCCAATGCGTCTCGGTGCGGAGCTCGCCCTTCTGAACCTAGGGCCGTCCATCCGGTCTGTGCAAACATAACACCCGGACGTGCCTCCGACCCAACGCTGCGGCACTCACCTCTCTGTCCAGCCCAGTTGCAATCACACTGATGACGCCATTCTCAGAGTTGATGGTGAACATCTGGCTGTGGGGTTGTTCAGGTATCTGCTGCAGGATGGAGTAAGTAATGACCCCATTATAGGTGTTTACACTATCGTCTGCATCTGTGGCTGTCACTTGCATCACAGAGGTACCTAGGCACGAGTTTAGAGTAACACTATTTTTCTAGTTCTAGGACAAAATGAGATTGGAGACGTTCTCCAGGACGTACTGCCAGGAACAATCCCGCCCTGGCCCACCAAGGGGAATGGGGGAAGGTGACTAGATCAACCACCAGGCATTTCCCATCCCCAACGTCTGCCAATTCTTCTCTGCAGTCACCAAAGAAGGGGAATAAGCTTGTAAGCGCCTCGGGGCAGCGCAGGCTGAGCCGTCGGCCCAGAGCCATCGATCTCACTGGGGCGATACAAAGACTAGAACCCTACGAGTGTCTCACAGGTAAACGGACAGCACAATTTGGAGCCATATTTACTGTTACCAGTTAGCTCCCCTGTTCTCTTCCAGTTCTCATACTGCCCCCATCAGCAGTATCTGCACCGAGCGCCTGCTCCCTGCCAGCCCCAGAGCCTTCTGGGAAGGTAACTGATCCCCTCCGCGGGTACTGTAGCGAGGCGGGTGGTCAACCCCAGGGTGCCGACTCTCCTGCAGGATCGGGAGAAGGAGCTGCTGGGTTGGAAGGGGAGGGAGAGCCTGCTCCAAGCCCTGCCATCCACACGAGCAGCACTCTCTGGACAAGGCGTGTCTGCTCAGTGGGCAGATTTTAGCCCCTTTGGGTTATTCTGGGATTTAAATTCTTCAAAGCAAAAATAACCCAACACTAAAACAGCCCCTGTCTCTCTCTCTCCTTGGAGGGAACCCTCCAAAGCCACATCTCATGACCAGTGTGTCTCACCCACCACTAGGGGGCTCTGCTCACGTACCTGGCTTGGCTCCTTCTTCTATGGAGCCTGTGAAGACGCTCTGGGTGAACTGGGGTTTGTGGTCGTTCTGGTCGCTCACGGTGATGATGATCTCCATGGGGTCCTCCATGGTCACCCCATTCGCAGACACAGCGTGGGAAAAGAGCTGCAAAGCCAGCACAGGGTGTAAGGCATCATCAAGCCACCCTGCGATTCCTGGAGCCGCCTGGCCACGGGCAGCCAGCAGCGCCCACCAAACCCAGCCATGGCTCCGAAAGCAGCGGCCATGCTTGGCTTGTGTGCGGTGTTCCACACGTCCCTGCAGAACGGGAGCCCGAGCCTGGCTGGCTTAGCCAGAGGGGACTTGCCTTCGATTCCCCACCTCCAGCTGCTGGCTGACCAGCCCCACTAGGGTCCTGAGTCCACAAGGAACACACCCAGCCTGGGGGTCTGCCCAGCTCAGCCTGTGCCCAGGGTCCGGACAGCAGCCTTCAAAGGGCCCATCCAGCTCCCCTCCACACTCGGAGGATAATCACTCGCTGGCCCATGGACAGTGAGGCCCTGTTACCCAGGGAGGGGCCAGTCTGGGCTGTCCCGACCTGTGTGGATTTATGGTTTCTCCTCCCTGCTGGGCCAAACCCCGACATCAGTAATGGACACGGAGCCACCCGCTAGCCCTGCTCTGCCCAGCAGAGACCCACGGGCCCGTGACGAAGAATCCAGCCAAGCTTTCGGAGACGGGAGGCGCATGCTGCGCGCGTCTCCAAGGGTATGTCTACACTACAGGATTAATCCGAATTTAGATAATTCGAATTTGGGAAACAGGTTGTATAAATTCGATTGTGTGCGGCCACACTAAGCACCTTAATTCGGTTTTAAACCACATTAATTCG